AGATGAATATTTTGACCACATAGTGATTATTGAGTTTAAATATGAAATCAGACCTATTTGGTTGACTCGGTCATCGTTTCCATAGGTCGCAGTGGAGGCCGCAATTTCCTGGCTAGGTCGCGTCACAACTTCCCTCCGGACAAAGCTCGCTGCTTTAATTTCAACCTTATCTTTACCACCAGAGACTTCAACGAAACATTAATCAAATATTTGAATAGACTGTGAAAGAGTTTCATTACATGCGAGGAAAGACTATGCTTTTCTAGTTAGAAAAGCATATTTTAAACGGATTGTAGAGGTTCTGTTAAAAAATGTACTAATTATTTAAAATCTTATGATGTTATTAATTACATATCTTATAGATTGAGATCCCATACATTATATATCATAATCTGGGGACTATAAATATACCCCCTACAAGACGGCAGACATTTCTGATGGCGCAGACGACCTCGTTTGCCCCATCGCCAAAACGAGTACTATCTAATGAAAAAACGGTAAAGTTTTAGAATTTAGGTGTCGTCATCCTGGTCTGGGATCTCAATCTCTTATCGTCATAAATAAAATAAATAGTAAGAGAGAATTTAAGATAAAAATTGTTAGTTAATCGTGAGTCCAATTATCTGTCTCATCTTTTTTACTTTCTATACTATAAGATTAAACACATGTTTTTTAGTAAATAAAGATATCAATGTAATAGCTCAGCTCGACACTGGATCTCAACCTGTATCGGTTAAGCTGAGCCTTCCCCTTTTGCCATCTGTTACAATTTTTTCATGTTTTTATTTTGTACAACTCTGTGTGTATTCTTGGATGGCAATAAAGAGGTTTTTATTTATTTATTTATTTAATAGCTTTTAATTTCGTCTTAAATAGGAAGTGTTTCGCTTCAGGAATAAAGTTTAAAAATAAAACAGCAATTAAGTTTACGCCTCAACGAGCCAAAATATATTTCCCAAATTGCTTTGTGTTATAGAAATTGCTTTGGTATTCATCAAACTTTATCAGGTACTCGTTTTATTGCTTATAGGAATTGGTCTTTTTTATGACTTCTTAAAGGAAAGTGGTTTCGAATCATTGTGCACAGATTTTTATATCTCTGACGTATTTTTTAAAATAACAAGCTTACTTCTCAAGACAATACTTTTCTGGTGGAAATGAAATAATGAAACCCACTTTTTTATGCAGACTACACGGAGGCCTAATTTTAGTCCCTTTGCCTTTCCACCCATTTCTTAAGAAGAAAGGATGGGTAGGAAAAGTGGATTTGACGGTGGAAGAGACGCATAGGAAGGGGTAATGGCCCTTAAGGGGAAATGGTATCCTCCTCTGTCAATTAAGGGTAGTTAACGCATCTGCAATCGCGAATGGGCAGCGGTCGCTTACCATTTCGGTGGATTCAGGCTGCTTGCTCGTTTGCCACCTTATATTATAAAACAGTGACAACACACTATAGACATTGAATGTTTTTTTATAAAGTCAATTGTTTGTTGAGTGGTCGTACTGGAGGCCTATTTTTGTCCTCTTTCTTTTCCCACAGTGAAATCGAGGTTCCACATGAGGGGAAATTACTCTTTTTGTAAGAACCGTTGTCCGTCAATTAAAGATAGATCTTTTGCTTTTGCGATGTCCATAGAAATTGGTCGTTTCGCTATTTCGACAGATTTTGCTCTGGCTCGTTTGCCAAGTGATGATATAATAGTGTTTACTAATTTAGCAAGAAGTGTTAAAGTGTAGCTTTATTCAAGTAACGGAACGGTATAATTTTCTATAATAATAAAGGTATTGTTTCGGTTTAAAATTTATTGTACATACTATAACGATAACGCCCTAAATAAATATTATTACTACGTCATAATAAAAGCGTGTCATAGTTCAATCCACAAAGTAGTTCACGTCTCAGGTATATTTTAGAAATGACAATAACCCTAAAAGTTTTCAGCTGTTTGTGAAATGCTAAAATAGATGTGCGACCTCATTTCAAGTTCTTGAATAGAAAAGCGTGAATATCTGTGATGGAGTAATTTACAGTCCATTCTTGTAGAATTATATTTATCTGAGTCAAAATATTTACTAGAAAATTTCGTTTTTCTCTAAATCTACCTAATAAACCTATTGATGTACAAATGTAAATAGCAATGATTATTATGTTTGTATCTTTATTGCAAGTGCAACATTGTTTTCAAGGTAATATAACACGACGAATCGACGAAACAATAAATTCCAGTACCAAAGTAGAACAGATTAATGCGGTAATAAATATTTGTGCAGTATGAGCTCGCTGCGCTGTAAACGAACTTGCATTAAATAGCGTGGATGCGGTATTTCAATTTGTCTCCGCACTGTGTTCGCTGTGAATTAATGCTAGGACGACAACTACTGGCTTCATTACCCCACGGCGCCGTGAATACTGACTTGTAACGTCACGACTTGAATACGAGCTGAGCCTGCAATTTCCCGTCCAGACTTCCACGCCAGACTTATTGAAATCCTAACGTTATTGAATGCAGACGGAGGAATTAAATTTATACGTCCATCGTTATTTTTCGTATGATTTTATGATCTTCTTCTATGGCGACGTCAAATACATTAAATCTGTTCTAATCTCCATGGAACGTAATATGTGACGTATCGCCTTACTCGTTCGTTAATTGAGCCATAAGGGTTGTCGTTAGTGTTGATAAGGAAGACCTTGATAACTTAATACGGCATTTAGTATGTGCAATTCAAATTCTCCTGAGTGACTGGCGTTTCAAATTTATCATAATGTATTTTGCTTACAACTAGCTTTCCACCTCGAGTTGGTTCGCGCTGAATTAAAACAAAACGAATAAGTAGCCTATGTGTTCTTCCAGACTGTGTTCTACATCTTTATTTCATCGAGAATCCTTCAGCAGGATACAAATTCTGACAAAATCATCCATCCAAACTTAGTAATTTATAATAGTAGTATTAAGCGAGTAAAGTTTTTCATATAATCCTAAAAACTTGATAAGTGTATATGGACTTAAATGAAAGTATGAAAGCAAGTTTGTAGGCTAGTTTGCTTATTAGCAAATTGTTCAGCTACCTTCCGTACTAGTATAAAAACTGTATTACGGCAGGGCAGTGCGGCCAGTTACTGTGAGTATCTGCTGAAAGTTACAGTACAAGCAAAATACACAGATGCAACGAAATGTAAAAGTTAAATAATTTCAAATTACGTATTACATTTAGTTTTTCAAAACAACACTAGTATATTTTCAGTACAATCAAAGCCCATATTGGAAAGGTATTATAATATGCGAGGATCAAAATAACAAAATAGTAGAAATGTTTAAAACAATGCGGCAAATAGAAATAAGAATTCACAAATGCTGTACCACTGCAGTCCATGAAACCAATAAAGCGATAATTTACGTCACGTATTTCAGCGCATCGCAATATGCAAAGTGGTGATAGCACAACGAACGCGTCAGACTAATGCAATGTATATTTGCGTATCGCTGGACGGTAAACCGAACACGAAATGGTAATTTGCCATACCTCATAAAGCTCTTTGATTATCCCCTTTAATGAAGTTTGAAACTGTTTGATATTCGAGATGGTTGAATCACGACGTCGTTCGAGAATTGTGACTGGATTATCTTGAACTTGGGTAAATTTTGTTATGCTTTGTTATATGCTTCGTTGTTAGCTAATTGTTGCAATGATCAAGTCAAAGTAATTGAACTAAATACTTAAATACTCGTAAAATTTATTAACCCCTAGATGAATATGCTTATTTAGGGGTTTTATAATGGTATAGAACCTCCAGGAAACATTATGATACCGATAATTTTAAACACTACAACTAATAAGGCTGTTTGTGGACGTGGAATAGTCAAATATTTACACAACAAAAAATTATTACTATCTACACGTTATTACTAAATATCTCGATATCTACGTATCTATTTACGATCGACAAAAAGGAATTTATTGAATTCTGTATAAGGAATTCCCTGTAAGTATTACTTCGGATTAAATAAGCAAAGTCAAATGTACTAACAGCTTTTCTCACTTTAACCCACTTTTCACTTCGCCTTATCTACACTCAAGTGACAGGTGTCGAGCTTTTCGCGTAATGGCGAAACCTACTTTAGAAATAGTTATTTCTACATTTCATGATTTAAAATTTGCAAGTGGAACAGTGCTAACATAAATAAGAACAGTAACTTTCTACTAACATGCAGCCATTTCATTCCACCCCCTTAAAAACGACAAGGACAACCATATGTTTCGCTATTAATTATTTTAACTATGGAATTTCACAATTACATTGACTCAACACGACGTGTTTCATGTTACTAATAATGTCCGTACAACGACTTCAAAAAGAACATGTTAAGGCTACATTTTCTTTCATTAACGTCATTTCTGTTTGCTAATTTTTTTTCAATATTCCCCCTTAACCTATCACTTGATTCAAAAAGTTCTTTTACTTTTATCTTTACCCCCAATCATTTAACATGTCCTATATGATGAAACATATGTAATATGACAATATGCTCGAAGTGACAAATAAAAAGTAATTCTCATAAGATTGCTTGGCATTTAGTAAATCGTCACGTAAAGTGATCGTGCGTTGGACGACGCATACAAACAATAATTCCTTCAGTACGATTTCATTTTACGAGTGTCGCACGTATCCTGCGTTTATCTCGGACGAAATTTATGACCACAATAACTCTCCTTCTCGATATGTAAGCCTCACTTACTTGTTTGAGGATTTGAAATTTTACTTTAGTGGTACTTATTTAGATAAGGGTTTTGCTGGTTAGACAGGTCGTTGATCTAGAGAATCGCTCCAGCCTCGAATGGCAGACAATCGTCTCATATGTATCTTTTCTGTCATATCCATACCCTTCATGTTGACGTACTCTTTATTGGTCTATGTTACTCTGTAATAATATAGCTTTCTAATCGATTGATGAAATCATTTAATGAAATATGATGTTAAATGTATGATTTTGTTCCAGAAAAACCAGTAAATGCCGCGAAGGGAACATAACGAACGGCGAGATGGACGAATTATAGCAGCGGGCAGACGCCAGCGATACCTGGGAGGGTGGCGGTGGAAACGGAAAGATGTTAGTAATAGTGTTAGTCCATTTCATCACACTACCTGTGATCACTTGGAGGCCAGTCAAAGGGGAGACGATTATGGAAGATAAGACCCAACCGCTAATCAGTTCAAGAGTCGTCAGAACTAAATACGGTGATATAAGAGGATTTATAATGACACCAGAATCGAGGTTTCTAGAACCAGTGGAAGTGTTCCGCGGAGTACCATATGCATCTCCTCCTGTGGGTTCGTTAAGATTTATGCCTCCGGTGTCAGGAGCGCAATGGTCAGGTGTCAAAATCGCAGAAGAATTCAGTCCGGTTTGTCCACAAGTGCTGCCAGATATAAGAAATGAAACGGCAGTCTTGAAGCGGATATCGAGAGGGAGGTTGGAATATTTAAAAAGGATATTACCATTTTTAACGAATCAATCAGAAGATTGTCTCTACCTTAACATTTATGCTCCCGCTCAAGGTAATTATAATTTGATGTTGTATTTTAATGTAAATTCGAATGTAGATTTAGGGCCTGTCCCACCACTGGCTGATAAAGGCTGAAATAGCTTTAAAATGACGTCACTGTCAGATTAGGGAACAAAATCCGATATTTCCATGACATATTTTACAGGTTCGATTATTATCAGATGATTTACAATTCGGTGGGACAGGCTCTAAGTGTCCTTTTTACTTGAGTAAACCAATAATTGCTTATGAAGATGATGAAATAATTAAGAGAGATATAAGATGAGATTGATATGCTATTTTTACGCGTGCGTTTTATAGGTTGTTTTTGTCTTTTTTCATTCATATAAAATTGGTCTACAAATCGACATCAATTTATTTCCTTGGTTGTAATGTTAGTGTCTGCAGGATTATGTAAAGCCTGAGCTAAAATTTCCAAAGGACCGAGTGTTGAACTGGCGTAATTTTCAAAAGAGCTTTATCCTTGGAGAGAAAAATCACTTTTATTTCTCTGTAACGAAATTCGGACCGAGGGTTCAAGGATTTAAATAGCACCCCCACCCTAAACGGAATTAAAAATAAAGTGGATGAATTTTGTCTTATATATCACAGGCAGTACTAATTGGACAGTCTTTGTAACAAATTATAGTATGTAACGATTCTAAGGGTGATCTTGTTAATTAGAGTAACGTGGTAGTTTTTTCCTGCACATTTTTGGCAACATTTACCTAGTAAGTACAAAACGGCTAGACGGATATAAATAAAATTTTTAACAGATATTAATTATATTCTGGTGTAGCTAGTCGGCTACTCATTATTTTAGCCCGGACAAATCCGGGAGCTGCAGCTAGTTATGTTGTAAAGTTTTAACACGTTATCGAGATACAAGGTAAATTCAATGTAGAATACTCGTAGTACAGCGGATCCGTAGCGATTTGTAAAGCTGATGTAGCGTTGAATGGCATAGCTCTGAAGCTACTTTTATAACATTGTAATGCAGAATATTGTAAAGTATCGGGTTAAAGGAAAGCGACATCGTAGACTGCTACGTTATTGCTACGTCTGCGGGAACTCGATATTTTGAAATAACATTTTAAATTCAATTATTGATAAGAATATAACTCTATTTTGATACAGAAACTAAATTAGAAAGGTTTTTATTCATTTATTTTATTTTTATTTATTTATTTAAAGCCACTCAGCACATGTGCTGATCTTCCGTGGCCATTGAAAATAGATGGCACCAACTAATACATTTTATTGGTACATAATGTTTTATACATTATAACAAACTCCTCCTCCATTACAAAATAATATGTACATTGTTACAATATAATTGACATATGCAATTGAGAATTTGACACATGTAAACAACAAAATAAAAGTTTTTAGATATCAAAACATAGGATATTGATGATCGTATTTGATTCATATAATTTTGTGACAGATGAAATTTGAAAATAGGTAAGTTATTTAAGATTTTGCGTATTATAAGACTAATGTGATGAAAACAGTTCTTAGCATACTTTTGCAGCGTAGTGAACCAGCACATGTGACCTGATTTGTCGCCAGGTAAAGAACGCTAGGCTACATTCATGTCGGCAAGCAATATGTGCAACGATACTTTTTCGTCGTCGAAATAGTCATAAAAGTGAACACGGAGCCTCAAAAAGGCGAAAAGAAGCTAGGCGGTACAGATATTACGTTGAAATCCACAGAATACGTTTTTGCACTTCTGCATGGTTTTACCTTCAGCTTTTGTCACGAACACGTCACAATTACAAAAAGATACTTTACGATTGGTACAAGTGATAGTTTTATAACTCGAAATATGTCACGAAATCGAAATTGTTTCGAAATATTAACGGTTCATTATTATATAACAATTCACTAATCATTACTTCATAATAATTTTTACGGATTCATGAATTATTATTTCTAGAAGATCCGCGTGTTCCCAACACTTGCACCATACACTAATTCGCTGTTTTTTCGTCGTAATTTTGGAAGTCCCCTCATGCCAAAAAGTAGGATTTTTTGATAACCCTCACGAGGAGTGCAATTAGCAGTTCTAAGTAGAGTGCCTTGTTGGGGAAGAGACTAAGCTTTTATAAACCGCACGCTGAAGCGGTCACGTGTATACTGAGCATAAGATTTGAAACTTATTTCTTCGTTGTGTAACTAATTAAGAGTAAGTTTCTTTAATTATCGTAGCGTAATTGGTTTTTTTATCAAGTATTAAATTAATTACAGTCAAATTCTTTATGACGCATTCGTTATTGTGTGATTATACTTCATACTAATAATATAAATGCAAAAGTTTAGATGGAAGGATGTTTGTTAGAGTTTGTAGCGTAAACGGCTGAACGGATTTCGATGATATTTGGTATAGATTTAGAGGATAGTCTGGAAGAACACCTAGTATGTTATACTTAAAATAATTCGCGATGGTAACAACAATTTTCAATGCGAAGTTTTATTTCGAAGTAACAAAAATGTACAGAGTATCCAACAAAACCCAGATTTATCCTTTTCTTTACATCCATCAGGGCGATAAGGCTTGCAGACTTAGCCAATTCGTGCTGATACGGGCTCGTGGAGGCACGGGGGGATCTTTTTTGTTCCCATTGCGCAAAGAAATCTGAATAGACGAGTGAAGTTTTCACAACGCTATACTTTACAAGCAACACATTCCAACTGTACTTTATTTAAATTAAGAATACAAACACAAACTTTTAGAGCGGGCGTATATGACTAAACTATCGCACAACGGTTGTACGATTGTTTCGCAGCCCATTCAACTGTTAAGTTGCATAACTAAAAGTCAATTTGTGTGTACACCTCCATTTAAAACCCATAAGAATTAAAACGAGACTAAACTGTGCGAGAGTTTAGTTTTAGGTCTGCCCACGCTCATATAGTTTCGTGAACAACAATTTATTAAAGCAATGTTACGTCCAGAGTCGTGCGTTACTAAGGGCGTTCCTTAGTGTAGAATTACACCAAATACATTCTACGTTAACTATCTTTCTCGATAGCGTTTTTTTAAATAACAAAACACATCTGTTATTTAGATTTTCTATCAATGTTTATTTTAATATAAAAATTGAAAAGTTAAAAATCCTATCAATGAATAATAACGAAATCCGAATAATAGACGGAAATTTTGGGTTTTAAAACACAATAACTATTCGCATTTTTAAGTAAATTAGTTTTTCTATTGTGTTATAGACACAATAGTTTTTGTACCATTGTTCTAAGGTTTATTAATTCTAGGATATTTTCATACATGTATTGGTATACACTAGGGTTGTGACGGAACTCCGCTTCCGCATCCGTAAGTGCGGAACTTCCGCAGGAAATGTTAACTCCGCTTCCGTTATTTCTTATGCGGAGTTATAACGGAGGTTAGTTTACGTCTTTATTAGGTATCGTTTATGCGGCCCGCGCGGTGTGCTAGGTTAACTAAGTATAATTTTTATACATTATATTTGCATAATAAACTGTATCTTGTAATGTTGTGCCATTCTGTGTTTTGAATTAACGTAGTTTTAGTTTTTATTCCTTTAATAAATCGCAATTAATATTTTATTATTGACTTCCGCTTCCGTTTCCGTTAACCTCCGCTTCTGCTGAGGTGAAGCCCTTTGCCTCCGCATCCGCATCCACTTCTATTAAAATGGCCTCCGTTACAACCCTACTATACACTATTGTAATCGCTTTAAGTTCTCTGAAATTTTCAATAAGATAGAAATATGTAGTTAAATTGCTTCCCACAGAAGTTATGTAATAACTTAGATCTGTGTAAATTTATTGTGCCCTATTAAAATGTAGGTCACACGACAATCCGTCCCTTTCAGTTAAATTCTTATCCCTACAGGCCTAAGGCTTTACATTTACGACATATTAGAAATTATAAAGCTTTGAACGTATTGTTGAAATTGTAACTACCGTGGGCTTCCATTGTTATAAAACTATTTTAAGAGCCTGTACAAATTGTAAATTGTCTGATAACAATCCAACGTGTAAAATATGTAGTTTAAATATGGGATTTTGTTACCTTATCGGACAGTAACTTATTTTTAAATATCTGAGCCTTTATCAGCCACTGGTGGGACAGAGCCTAAATGTACTTGTTTTTTATATCAAAGAATTGAAAGAAGACGACAGTTTTTCAATCATTTTTTTTATTTATAAACACTGTTATTCATCCAAATAACAATTATCAACATCGCATTTGAGTAACAGCTCATGTTTATTTACTTATTTTTTTGTTTAAAATAACAAACACTCCATTGTCCTCCTTTCTGGTCTCGCGATTGAATTTTCCAATCAAATTTAATTTCCCTTGACATGCAAAACTTTATAATTTGAAATTCAAAACGAAATTAATATTTTCTTTGTATCAACGATCCATTCAGTTTAACAGATTGTTTTAATACTCGCAATATTTACGTTGGTATAAATTTATTATTAGTGAGTAACAAACATCCACACTTTATTGCTTTGGCATTCTAATGTAACGGATTTTTAATTTCGTAAATGTTTTTCATCTTTCATTCATTCGTCAGAGGCACTACAGCCGCGGGTGGGCCTGGGCCTTGTCCAGAAAATTCCTTCATATCGGTCTATTTTGGGCTTTTTGTTTCCAGCCCTTAATGCCGCTATCTTAGTTTCGGCCCTCCGAGTGATCTACGTCCTTCTGGTTGACTCTCTAATCGGCCCTTAGGCACTCTGCAGTTTCACATCCTTTCCTGCGTGTTAAAAAGGCAATACCAAAGAACTTTATCAGCCATCAAGTATACTTATTGAAGCTCGTGGATTGTGTACATCTACGTGTCGACTGTACTCATTGCGTGAACAATTACTTATCAATACATAAATTGTGTAATCTGTAATGTATCTAAATGATTGTGCGTACAGCAGGTGTGCGTGACGCGGCTGCACGTTACCCCGTGTTGGTGTTCGTCCACGGCGAGAGCTACGAGTGGAGTTCTGGCAACGCGTACGACGGCGCCGTGCTTGCGGCACACGCCGGTCTACTCGTCGTCACCATCAACTATAGGCTGGGACTACTCGGTAATGTTTTAGGCTACCATAGTCGAAATGTACGAATAAGTATCATATAATTAATGACGTATAACAGGAAATTTAACCATTACGAACAAGTGACCACCGAAATAACATGCGAATTTATACATTGTACTCTACCGACCGACGAAATATACGTAAATCTGACATGAAGACAATTGAATCAACATACTTTTAATTACTAGAATATAGCGTATTCTCATAATAGAAAGCTGATTAAATTTATTTAGCATTTCAACGAAACGAACTACGATTCACGTAACACTGATGACGTCATGGTTTTTCAAACAGAATGGCATAAAATCAATCAATAACAATTTGTTTAGCAAACATTAAAACTATGATCACTGCATCGCATGTTATACGTCCATAAAGCAAACTCTTTGCTATGACTTGGCTTTATTAGATCAATCGCGTTCCGACGCGTCCCACTAAAATATGTTTGCAAATGTAACCAGTCTTATCGAACGAGCATTTTACGATCTATTTATGTATTTAATCGAGTTTTATGTGACAAAATGTATTTTATGTGCGTAATATAAAATGTAATCTCATACTCATGTGGTTAAACATAGCATATTTTAGGTGTGTTGAAATCTACAGACACTATCGACCTCAAAATGACGTTATAAATACTGGAGTCGGTTTCGAAATAATAAAGTTACACTCTTCAGTTAGAACTGTCAGTTACAACTAAGCGTATATAGCGAGCCTAAGATATTCTTCATTAAATCATAGTTAATACTAATAATATAAAGAATTAGGTGGATGGATGGATGGATGTTTGTCAGAGTTTGTAGCTTAAACAGTTTAACGGATTTCGATGAAATTTGGCATAGATGTAGAGGATAGTCTGTAAGAACGTATAGGCTACTCACTTTTGTTTTTTTTTTTGATTAACGGACGGAGTCGCGAGCAAAAGCTAGTGATTAATAATAATAGTATTCAATAACAGTGGTTGTTATAAACGTAAAGTTACCGTAAAGTTATAAATTCTTAAGATTCTGACTTTTACGAAAGTAACCGTCTTTTGTCAAGTTTACAAGAATGTTATTATAATTTTACGACAGCTATGTCCTGTAGGAAGTCCTTGGAATGCTTTTGATTGCGTCGCAACTACGTTTACGTCGGAAATTCTCGGTTGTTGCGTAATTTTGTGAAAATTTGCGGCACGGTGGAAGAACTTGAAGAATTCCATAACATGGCGCTTCTGAAATGTTTGGCTAAAACTTATACAATGACTGTAAATAGGGTGGGTGTTATATTGTTGAACTTGTGTTAAGTTTGCTCGCATTTTCTTATCAAGTAAATACTCGTTTACAATTTCTAAAAGTACTCAATGTTTAATTCAATTTTGATGAATAAAAATCCTCAGTACAACTGTCAAACGATAGTACGAGTATGTTGATGATCTAGACAGGTAACATTAATAAGATAGCTGTTACCCAATGTATAGAGGAGAATGTATATGAAGTAAATTCACATATGATGAGTTACGAAAAACAGGGCCTGTCACGCCACTGTCTCATAGATGTTCAGATAGCTTTAAAATGACGTCACTGTCAGATAGAGTAACAAAATCCGATATTTCCATTACTTTTTACATGTTGGATTGTTATCAGACGATTTACAATTAGGTGGGACAGCCAAGTATTTTGTGGACTTTTGTAGATGATGACATGATGATTTGATACAAATACCTATTACTAAAATGTCGAGATAAATTAATTGTTATTTCAGCGCTGCTTTCGTCATATAAAGGAAGGGGGAATTAAATTAATTTGTTAACAAATCCGCTCCAAATGAATCATTTAAGAGCGCTGGGTGTAGTGAGACTCCTCGTTACCGGCCTGTTATCTTCCTATTGTTATGTAAATTTGTTTAACCGGTCTATTCATCTTGTTTCCTTTGACGAAAATTCCTTTGGATTTTTTCCTTTTTTGTTGACTTTCTTTGTTACTGCGTCTTAATTAAATTTCATATAATTCCCTCTCAAATTATTTGATTTTTTTCTGAGTCACAAAATCGTTTTATGTATTAACTATCTATACTAATAATATACTAATAAAAAGATTTGTATTTCTGTATGTATTGAAATAACTCAAAAACTACTGGACCGATTTCAAAAAAATCTCACCAATAAAAAGCTACGTATTACCTGAGTGTTTTTTTATTGTTTTTTATTTCAGGCGAACGAAGTCGCGAGCTATTATTAACAGCTATTTACTATAATAAAATGGCTTCTAAGACAAGAATCTGAAAAATGATTCATTTAACAACGTAAAACTAATTTTAACTTGATTGAAGTACATTTTACATGGAATACATCAATAATAATCATTGGAATATTCTAAAAAATGCAACTTTTTCCTAAAATATGATATTCTAAGTAGCAATCGGTAAATTACTTTTTTTTTTGTTTCGATTTGTACCACTATCGCTGATTACTAAAATATGGCCTATTGTTTTTCATTCGGGAACTAGGTCACCGCTCTTCAAATGTAGTATCTTTGCTTTTATTTGTGCATTGAATTTCTATTTAATATTAAACATTTCGAGAGGCTCTTTTGATATTGGAATAATACGAAAAATATGAACAAAAATTCTACATTGGCAGTACTAACTTATTCATCAGGAAGAACTCTCCGTGTATTTCTGACTTAAATTATCTAAAAGGTTACAGCCTCGGCTGCAATAACACGTATCTAAGCCACGTTTGGTCATAACAAAAGCCGCGAATAAAACACTCGTTCTATTCTTTACGGAGTTCAATTTTGCTTGCCCACATTTATCATCATCCAGCAAGCTATTTCTTTTTATAGCCACTCTTATCTTTGAATGGCCCAAAGTCGTTAAAACTAAGTAATAAACCCCGTATTACATTTTTGTATCCTAACATATATCCTCTTAATTAAGAAAATGTTTCTCTACGACGTATCTAGTACAAGCTTCCATCCTTCACTCCGTCCTCATGGAATTAAAAAAAGAAAAGGAAAAAACATATGTCTTCGTCCAAACTGTACTCAACATCAATGCCAATTTCATCGAGATGCGTTCAGTAGTTTAGGTTACAAACTCTAATAAATATTCAGCATTGATACAGATAACGAAACTGATGTAACATTAAGGAAAACATTATGTGTTAAACAAGAAAAAAAACTTACTTTTATTTCGAGGTGTTGCCTAATGAATACAGCTGTGATCTGAATCCCAAATGCCACATACTACACTGTTAGGAAACTTTCTGTAACTCATTTCTTAATAAAATTAACCAGAAAACATCTATCTACTTTTAGATAGATTTTGATGTCAGGTTTGATATAAGATTATAATGAATTCCTACATACCATTCTGTTTAGAAATCCGTAATATAAGATTATAAGAAATGGAAAAAGCCATCCAAATAAAAACATTATTTACAGCTGGGATACAATATATTATAACTAACAAAATATACGTTTACATTCCCCAAAGCCGCCACAGGATTAGTTTCATAAACATAACATGTTTATGAAACTGAGCCCAGGAAATATGCAAATAGTCGCCGCCATTTTGGTTCGATAAACTACCGCAAACGGGACACAATAACTCTCTTTCGCTCGATTACATTTGCGTTACAAAAGAAATGAAATATTATGTTGCAGGTTACTTCCAAATGGATGTTAGTTTATTACTGAAATTAATTTCATTATGGTAATATATGGTAACGTTTAACCTGGTTTAAAGTTCATATTACGAACTAACAATAATTCCTACCGCACCAAATAAAAAACCATTTAAGATATGAGATTGTAATTTGATAAAATATATCTTAAAATAATGAGATCTTGACAGCGTACTGAGGGTAACTTTCTAAAAATGATACTATTCCTAAATTTTAATCCACTTATTATTCAGGACTCGCATTAACAAGTTTTAATTCCTATTGATTGTTACCAGGCTTCCTGAACCCCCGTTCAGATGAATTCCCACGATCACCAGCTAACTACGGGCTGATGGACCAGATCGCTGCTTTGCACTGGATAAAGGAGAACGTCGGTGTGTTCGGTGGGGATCCGACTAACGTGACGCTAATGGGCCACGGCACTGGCGCAGCGTGTGTACATTTCTTGCTTACGTCACTCGCCGTTCCTGAAGGTTAGTGAAAATAAAATCCAATAGCTAATAGCTTTTCGACTGAATGTGCAGTAAAAGGGACGAATGAAAGCAGAATACATGTGGCAGAAAAGCGAATGTTAAGATGGGGTTAGACGAGTGAATAAGATACGAATAAGGTATGAGTGTGGAGGTACACCGGTAGAGGAAGACCTAGAAAGAGATGGATATATTGCGCGAAAGTGTGACATGATCAAGAAGGGAGTGATGACTGAGATGATGGATGATAGAGTTATTTGGGTGACGTAAACCACATGTGGCGACCTAGTCGAAGTAGGATAAGGTAGGGAAGATGATGAGTAGGTTTTTGACTCCTGATTTTTATGTTATAAAGTTACACTCTTTTTACAACGGGAATGAAATCCAACAAGTTGAGATAGATTATGTATTAATTCATTTTATACGGAATCGAATCGTGTAACTTGGTGTTCTAAAACATTAACTATTGAACTACTGAGGCTATGTATTTACTTAATATTGAAACGTATCCGCTGACAGTGCCCCACGGTACCTTTATTTGGTTATAGAATGCGAACTAGCCTTTCATAGTGTTTCTCTACAAACGATCCTATGCAAACAAGATCCTAACTCTACGCTTGTAGACTTTAAGTATTCACTGACGCAAATGCTTATTTAGTTCAGGTAACTGCTTACAATGTTTACCTATTCGTTTTGAAAGTTTGAAATTTTACTAAGGATTTTCAGATAGTCACGGTTTTTAAAATGTTTTTGATATAAGTAAGATATTAAAATGACGTACAAATATAATAAATAACCCAATTCTCAAGTAAACTTGGCCAGACGTTGATTTTATAATTCTTTCTTTAATGACCAAAGCGTTTAGTTTAATGTTGGAAAGATTCCAGCGAACTGTTAACTTTGAAAAATGATTACAAAGAGATGACTCCGAAAGATCGCTTCGACTTACATTTTTAATTTAACAGATAATGTGATTAGACAGTTAAGAATCTACTATTATTAAGTACTTAGTAACTTAGCAACCTTTTTAAATTAATTTCCGTTAAATTAGTACTTAACTAGCTTTCGTCTGAGACTGCGTCCGCGTGGAATTAAAAGTAGCCTATGTGTTCTTCTATCCTATCCTCTACATCTATGCCAAACTTCATCGAGATACGTTCAGCAGATTAGGCTACAAACTCTAACATCCATTAATCTAAACTTTCGTATTTATAATATTAGTATGATTATAAACACAACTTATTACTAATGTGGTATATTACTGTTAATTTTTTTATTTGCACTCAAATTGCACAAACACTAGGTAAAGCAAATAGTATATTACACACATAAAGGTAATAAAATTCTTTACGATATAAGACGAGAAGACTTCACCGTAATCCGTGACCCAGTGTCAGCGGAATCTATTATTCAGAGGCTTAGAGACGCAATGCAACTACCATTTTATTCTTACGAAGAATATTCACTTACAGCAAGAAATATTAAAGACTGCAACACGTAGAGTTTTCAGACACACAATAAATATCTTAGTGTAGTTTGAGAATGCAATATCTGCATCAAATGAACGGAAGAACTCTAACAAACATCCATCCACCTAAACATTTGAAATTATCTATACATATAATAAAAATTGGAGTGTCTGTAATATCAAAAGAAAAATTCCAGATTTTGGGAACATGATTTATTTGCGTTGCTGATAACGACAATCGCACTTCAATTCTTTTGTCTGTCTGTTTGTCTGTCCGCAAGCCTTTGTTCCGGGTAATCTCCGAAACGGCTGGGCTGATTTCAACCGAACTTTCACTGAAGGGTAGTTGACATAGACGGGCATGTTATAGGCTACTTTTTTTAAATTCCGCACTGTCCAAATTTGTGCTAACGAAGTTTACGACAGCTCGTAATATTAATAAAATTGATGTTAAAGTAACTGATTTATTTGTAAGTTTAATAGAGTAAATCCACAAAGCTATATATATTCCAGAGTATTGGAGCTAACATTGATTTATGATTCAAACAAAACTATGAATGCGTTTCTCGGTCTACTTCCATTCCCAATTTGAATATATCGTGAATAAATAATGCGTATTGTTTGTGTAGCTTATTCGATAACAGTTCTGTAATAAATTATAACATTTTTTTTAGCGATGATAGGTTATTATATAAAAAACATTTTATATGGTTATAAATATCAACCAACACTAGATGTTATAAATGCGAAAGTTTAGATGGATGGATGTTTGTTAGAGTTTGTAGTCTAAACAGCTGAACGGATCTCGATGAAATTTTCTATAGACGTAGGAGATAGTCTGGAAGAACGTATAGACTTTTGTTTTTTTTTTTTTTAATTCCATGCGAACGGAGTCAAGGGCGAAAGTTAAAAATTTACTTTGAACTACATTGTAACAGCAAAGGACTGATTGTTTTATTTTTCGCAGGTCTGCTGTTCCACAGAGCTATTTTAATGTCCGGCTCCGGCTTAAGTCCCTGGTCTCTAGTCGCCGACCCGCACAAATATGCAACGATAGTCGCGAGACATGCCAACTGTTCACCCGGTAAGGTGCAAATACCAGTTATATAACTATGTTGTAGTTAATCCAAGTTTAACTGTATATTACTGGAAATGTCGTCATAAATATATAGGAATGGGGCATCGAGTTATAAGACCAGACCGAAAAATGTCTGCCCGTTCCCAGAATATCATAAATAGAGTAAAATGTACTTGGTTTCCTGTAAGTGATTGCTAATAGCAATAAGGCCGCCCTTGCGCAAATCTTGTAGTAGCTTAGATTTAGATTTATTTGAGCAAAAAGTATTAAAGAAATAAATACCAGAATATTAACAAACTAAATTAAGACATTAACTCGAGTAGACGACGAAGATCACAGTAGTGGAATACTCACAAATCAGTATGTGAGGATTTGATGAACTTTTATAATCTAGGTTAGGATTAATATGCCACTGTTTTTATGTACATTATCTTTTGGAAACTAGAATAAGTCACATACAGTTGCATACAGATCTAACCCCGCCGGCGTTGCTGCGTTGCTTACGCGAGCGGCCGCTGGAGGCGCTGCTGTCGGCGCCCGTGCACGCACCGGACTTCTCCTACGCCTTCGGACCCAGCGTTGATGGAGTTGTAATTGGTAAGAGAAATCTTTATTTTACAGGTTTCTAGGTTTCCCCTGCGACTCCGTCTGCATGAAATTAAAAATTGAATAGCCTATGTCTTCTTCCAGACTATCCTGTATGTTTATGCCAAATTTCATCGTAATCCGTTGAGCCGTTTAGGCTACAAACTCCGACAACATCCATCCATCTAAACTTTTGCATCTTACTAATATTAAAATGCGAAAGTTTAGATAGAGAGATGAATGTTTGTTAGAGTTTGTAGCTCAAATAGCTGAACGGATCCGGATAAAATTTGGCAAAGATGTATAGGACAGTCTGGAAGAACTAATAGGCTATTTACTTTTTTATTTTTTAATTCCACGCGGCAGGAGTCGCGGGTGATAGCTAGTATGGAAATCATTTATCACACGGCTTGCATGATTGCTGCGAAGAAATAATATTTGCATTAAAATATTATTAAGTAATTAACTTCTTAAATAGAATAAAAGTTGAAGAAGTTAGAGGAAGCTATTAAAATGTAATAAGGAAGCTCAAATCAACAATGATTTTAGTATTCTTGTAATGTGGCGGATTTCCAATACCAACTTTTTCATAAGAGTGTTGACAAACGGAGCGCGTTCTCGATGTTATTAAATTTTCTTACAAACTTTTCTCATTTTATTTGCTCCCACGTTTTCATCTCGCCTTGTCCCATAACATTTTTCTTCCTCCAAACTTTCTTTTTTGAATTCTTAAACAAATTGTTTCCTTTTGTCAACGCATTAAAAAAAAACATTCTTATTGTGAAGATACATACTTACGATAATTTTTCAAAAGGAATTACAATTGCCGAATTGAAGTTATAAGTACGTTTAAGTCAAAGAGAAGTAATTTGTTTTTCAATTTTAGAAATCTCCAAGTCGTTCTTTATGACATCTTAAACTTCTAGAATATCATCATCATCTCCCCTACCTTATCCTACTTCCGTAGGATTCATCCATCATCATAACACGTCCATATCATGTTAACCTTTTACACCTTAATTTCTCAACCACTGAGTCCACTCTCAAATTCCCTGTAATACACTCATGTATACTCTTTTACTGCCCGACATTCAGTTCCGTACATTATAACAGACTTAGGGCATGACCCACCACTGGCTGATAGAGGCTTAGATAGCTTAAAAATGAAGTCACTGTCAGATAAGGTAACTAAATCCTATTGGATCCTATCTCCATCGCATATTTTACACGTTGGATTGTTAACAAACAATTTATATAAAATTTAAATAAAATTGTATTTATCAGACACAGGTGACCTTCTAATGAATCCAGAGAATGCTTACGAGTGGGGTGGACAGAGTCCGCACTCCGGCAAGCAGACCGCTGTCAACATCATCAACGCCGTGCTCATGCGCAAGAGCGCCATCGCACAACTCACCAAGTCAGTAAGATATTTACTATAGTAGTATACAAAACGAAAAGCCAATAACCAAAATAGCTTAGAAATATTAACTCCGCATCCGCTTCCGCTTCCGTTATTTCTTATGCGGAGTTATAACGGAGGTTAATTTACGTCTTTAACGCGAGTGGGGCATTATATTTTACAGTATATTTGCATAATAACCTGTAACTTGTAACTATGTACCGATCTTTTGAATTAACGCAGTTTTAGTTATTTCTTTAATAAATCTCAATTAATAATT